CTGTCTTTCTCTGACCCGCAAACACTTTAGTTTCAAGTAGGAAAATAGCAGTTTGCTTTCTCTTGCTTCTCACGACTACGTTTCTTACCATCCATCTCCGAATCGACCATCTCCGATCGACCATCTCTCCAAACGTTTCAGCTTTTGATTGGCACGTCTCGTAGCCGAGAATGCTTCCATTTTAGAGCATTTCTAGAGTGCTTTGACGCTAGACTTACTTAATTAGTCGTCTCTTTCGACGCACTTTAACCGTCCTCTGCGGCGGCTGCTGCTGCTGCTGCTGCTGCTGCTGCTGCTGCAGGCAAGGCAGAGCTGCTCGCTCGCTGGCTTGACTGACGCTGGCTGACGCTGTTCGTGAACGTGACACAGGTGCAGGCGATCGTCGACCATCACCACAACGTGGACGTGAAGGTGGCCACCAAGGTGCGGTTCCAGGAACCTGGGAGCCAAAATTCGAACAACGCGGTGGTGGACGAGGCGCAGGAGAAACTCGTGCAAGATTCCGAGGGCGGCAAGGAGGCGGAGGAGACAGGAGAGGCTAACGAAACCTCGGGCGATGAGGCGAAGGAGGGCAACGAGGAGGAAACGAAATTGATCGGCGGATCGCCGAAACAGGAGAACAAGGAGAACACGGAGAAGGAGGCGAAAGAGAACGGAGAGGAGAAGAAAGCAGGAGATGATGACAGTCCGGAATCGAAGAAACCTGCGATTACACCGTGAGTAATTAATTAATTATTAATTACGGGTCGGTAATTACGTCGGTTATGCACTCACGTCGTGTCTCGACGCCTTGCGAGCGTAATAAATCGAACGATTTAACCACTTAACGACTTAACGACCACTCGACAGAGACGAGGGCAACGTGAGACGTATGCACACTTCCATCAAATTGAACGAGGTGATTGTCAAAAAGAGCAAGAACGCTCAATTGGTCATACTGAATCTTCCTGGACCGCCGAGAGATACCAAAATGGAACGCGAATCAAACTGTATCCTTTCTACGAAGATCAAACTACACAAACTATACGTGTACGTGCGCATGCACAACCTGCGCCAAGCACAGGTTTACTTTACGCGTGTATTCGAATTTTCTTTCTTTCTTTTCTTTTCGTTTTCGTTTTCGTTTTCGTTTTCGTTTTCCTCTTCTCTTGCCTACCGGCACACTTTACTTTTTTCACTTGGCAGAGAGGTTCACTCGTCACCACCTTTTTT